ACACACACACACACACCACACACACACACACTAAACACGCATACCAAAACATACATGCATTAAACACACACACACTAAACACACACACACTGAACACACTTATAGCTGGAGAGAGCGGTGTACGGAGCGCAGACCGGCACCGCAAACAGCAGCACATCCTCAGGGTGCGGGAGACCCGTCAGAGAGTCCAGAAGATTCTCCGAGACCTGAGAACAAACAAACACTGAAGAGCTCAGAGAAACGACAGAGCTTCATTCCAGATCAACACTGAGAGACAACGATGAGCGGTTCCTCACCTCCACAGCGGGATTATCCACATCCTCCAGCTCCTGAAACACACACACACACACACATTCAGCACACACACACACACATTCAGCACACACACACACATTCAGCACACACAACGCACATCTCAGCTATTACACAGCGCTCTGCAGACGTGTACGCTCACAGCACAGTTCAGACTGAGATACGCTCATTATAGCACAGTTCAGATGGAGATACGCTCATTATAGCACAGTTCAGACGGAGATACGCTCATTATAGCACAGTTCAGACGGAGATACGCTCATTATAGCACAGTTCAGACGGAGATACACTCATTATAGCACAGTTCAGACGGAGATACGCTCATTATAGCACAGTTCAGACGGAGATACGCTCATTATAGCACGGTTCAGACGGAGATACGCTCATTATAGCACAGTTCAGACGGAGATACGCTCATTATAGCACAGTTCAGACGGAGATACACTCATTATAGCACAGTTCAGATGGAGATACGCTCATTATAGCACAGTTCAGACTGAGATACGCTCATTATAGCACGGTTCAGATGGAGATACGCTGTGGTATAATGAGTTCAGACAGAGATTTGCTCATTAGCTCTAAACCAGCAGATGTGTTTTTCTCTTCACCTTCTCCTGATCTCCTCCAGCTGGATCTTCCATGTTCTCACTCGTCCGGCTGCTGGTTTCCGGTTTCGGCTTCGCTGCTGCTTTCTGATGAGCCGGAACCTTCTTTACCGGCTCTTCCTTTGCTTTTCCTTTCTTGCCCTTCTTTGTTTTTTCCTCTTTGGTGGAACCTGCGGACTGTTGATCATGTACAGGGAGAGGTCAGCATTGACAGGAGGACTGCAGGAGTGTGTGTGTTCATGGGTAGAGGACAGTGTGTGTGTGTGTGAGTGTGTTGGTCATTAAACTAAAACTGACCCCCAGTATCTTCATCATCATCTCTCGGTCCTCTTCATCCTGGTCTTTGTATTTGTCCTTCATCTTCTTCAGTTTGTTCTGAAAAAAAAACACACATCACACTGATTCGCTCCTCCCGCTAACAGGTGCCTGTGTGAGTGTGTGTGAGTGTGTGTCTAACCCTCTGTCCTCTCTTCAGCGGTGCCGCGGCCGCTCCTCCGCTCTTGCTCGTGGGTGTTCTGCTGGCAGTCTCCGGCTGTTTCGCTTCTCCTTCCTCCAGATCTTCTGTGTTCTCCTGCTTCTGCTTCTTCTTCATGTCTCTGGTGACAGTAATCTGGTTAATGTGACGCTGTTCATCAGCTGATGCTCTGTACAAGGATTCAGCTGGAGTGTGACTGTCTCACCTGCGCTGTTTGGCCGTCAGGTGCTTCTTTACCTGCGTGTCTGTGTTCACCTGCAGGAATCATTCAGTCATGTGAATCGGTTCAGCTGTGAGAATGACGATGTTGTGTGTTTGGTGACTGTTGTGTGAGTGATGGTGTTGTTAGTGTAGGTGTGTGTTGAATGGTGTTGTAAGACAGAAGGTGTTGTGTGACTGATGATGGTGTTGTGTGTATGATGGTGTTGTGTGTATGATGGTGTTGTGTGTATGATGGTGTTGTGTTTGATGGTGTTGTGTGTATGATGGTGTGTGTT